GTCTCCCGTCGCGTGCGCTGCCTGCCGCGCATGTTCACGCCCGAGCTGATCCTTGCGCTCTGCGACGCGTCGTCGCGCCTCGGCCGCAAGATCGCGACGAAGATCCTCTGCCAGCATCAGAGCATGGTGCATGCCAAGTAGACACGCTGGTGAGGGGGGTGGGTGCGCTGTCAGCATCAGAGCATGGTGCACGCCAAGTAGACGTGCTGGTGAGGGAGGGTGCGCTGCCAGCATCAGAGCATGGTGCACGCCAAGTAGACACGCTGGTGAGGGGGGTGTGGTGGGGGTGTGATGCCACACAGTGTTGTGAGGTAGCACTAGCGATGTGTTTCGCAGTGGTGGCGCGTAGCAATGCACGGTAGTGCCAATATAGCAGCATGGGAGTGTGGTGGCACTAGTGTTGTACCGCGTGAAGGTACCAACATGGCGGCATGTGAGAGAGCGTGGCGGTGCTAGTTTGGTGGCGTGGGGGGGTGATAGTGTCAGCGTGTTGCGCAGTGGTGGCGCGTGGCTACGCATGGAGCTGCCAACGTAGCGGCTTGCGAGTATGGTGGCGCTAGTGTGGTGGCGTGTGGCATCGCATGAATTTGTCAACATAGAGAGCATGGTGGCACTAACGAGGTGGCGCCAGGTGGTAGTGTTTGCATCGGGACATGTGGCGCCACATATTGTGGCAGTCGTGGCGTCTAACGCCAGGCAGAGTGGAGAAGTTAGTGTGATCACGTATGACGCGGCCGATGCCTCATGTTAGCACATGCAGACTGCTGCCAGCATCGAGTGACTACTCTTCACTAAACTTGTGATTTACTATTCCTTATATTGGATCTGAAGTTTCTATTCTTTCAATTATGTAATATTGAGATACAATGCTGTGTGTAAATGTAATGTAATTATCAGGTGACGGTGACTATTGAACAACTTTTTGTTTTGATCTCTCTACATATAATAGTCATATAGCCTGTCAATGTTTCTAAGCTGTATACTTGTATAATTACACTATAACAATGTGTGAGCTAATATTTGTATACACTTGTACGTGTTTTCATCGCAAGTTTCTTAAGGAATAGGCTGATACCTTTTAAACATAACATATGTATATATATATATTAAACTCCATTATTGCATACATTCATGTCTGCTGTTGACGTGTTACTGTACATACAAGTAGCAATCAGAAGAGTTGTGTTTGAGAAGTAACGGACTCTACAAATTTACTTTAATCATAAACTCCCATTGCACTTGTGCATTTTTTGACAATTTTCAATTGAAATCAAAACTGTACAGAATGCTTCACAATTACTGCAAAGAGATTTTAAGCAAAGTACTACAGGCTGCAATGCACTCTATGAGCGATTTATTCAAACGCTAAATTAACCAACACATTGTATGTACGACGCATGACAGTGCTTGCTATTTTATAACAACCAGAATAACGACTACACGGGCGCCATCTACGCAGGCTTGCTTGCTAGAATCTCCACCTTCTGTAGGACTTGTTCTTTACTCAGGCCAGATAGGGATATGCTGTTTTCTCTACCAAATGCTGAAATATACCAAATTTATGTCATCTGATAACAGGAATTGCTTTCTTAGAAAATATTTTTTTGAGCTACTAGTGATCTTCATGCTGGGTCCAATCTTAGGTAAATCAACGTAGGTGATTTTATTCTTAAATGCTTGATGGTGTATAACCATGCACATACGCAACGCATGTATGCAGGGGCGTCACAGCCGTAAGGCTGACGTAGAAAAACGCTACGGGCTCCCAGCCTAAAGAGTAAAGGGCATAAAATAATCAAAAATCTAAAGGGTAAATGGCATTTTAGAGCATCTAGATTTTAAAATTTAGACCCCCCCCCCTTCACACTTCCTACCTACGGCACTCGTGCCGTGCGCCTGCGTCATGCAACATGAACAGCGCATGTGCAACAACTGCTCGGACGAATAGCGCATACGAACAGGTGTCCGATGCTCGGACGAATAGCGCATACGAACAGGTGTCCGATGCTCGGACGAATATCCACGTCGCTCCTAGAAACGGTATTGCTAGGGTTAGAATACCCCTGACGTATATTGACGTTAGTCACACAGCCTGGTTGGGTTAGGTTTCATACATTTGCAATGTCTTGCGTCTATATTTACTTGCGAGCTGGCTTCTTATGTGTTTCTCTCAATAATATATTTTAATTGAAATTCCTAGGAATACATATATACAAGTAATAATATTTATCATTTCTATTCCTTTACCAGTTTAGTGATTCATGAAGACCAAGCATTAATCTAGACGGCTGGACTTTGAAAGCTGAAAAGATGGACCAGTCGGCGAAATCCGGTCCTGCGAACCAAATCAAGCCTCTGCTCCTGCAAGCCTGGCGGGAACGATGGTCGGACGTCCACTGGGGAATCAAGATCAAGAAGGTCCTGCCGAAAGGCGTGAGCGGCGACGCATACAGCCTCGCTCAGTGCATCCTCGAGCAGGGCCTGATCGGACCGAGTCCGAACCGCCTGATGTTCTCCTACCTACAGATGGCTCTCAGCTCGCAACTCGTCTCCTACGCGACCGTCCTTCAAACGATCGCGAAATTCAGCAACTTCGACAAGGTTCACTGCGTGCACGGCCTCCTCGAGCTGCTCTGCACGCTGCCGAACCGCATCTACTGTGAAGGAAACGCCGAGGAGTGCATGGCGCTGTGCATGTCGCTCCTGCAGGTGGTCAGCTGGACCGTCATCTGCCTCCACGGCTCCCTCCTCTCGCTCATCGACGTGAAGACGTCGCCGGAGCATTCCGCGGCGCTCGCGCTCGCGTGCGAGTTCCTCGGCGCGGTCGTCGGAAACGAGTTCACGAGCGCGCTGGTGCGGGTGGGGCGCGCGGAGAGCCCCGCGACCTGGGCGGACGTCGACGGTCTCGTCGCCGAGATTGCGAAGCAGCTCGCTCACCAGCCGACGCTCGCCGTCGACCGCGATCGCGTCGCCGCCGTCGTCCGCTCGCTAAGGGGGAAGAAAAAAAAAGCATTCGGCGAGCTCGGCGCGCGCGCGGGGGGGCGGGAGCGGCGGCGGCAGGCGCGGGCGGCGGTGATGTGTAACGTGAGCATCGGACGGCGCTCGAGGCGGTGCTGCATCCCGCGGACGATTACTCGGCGTTCGTGAAGCAGGCGCTGCTGGTGTCGTCGCTGAGGAGCTGCCGCGGCCGCAGCTGTACTGCGAGCTGTTCAAGGCATGCTTCCAGGTATGGGTGGCTGGCAGATTATATATATATATATATATATATATATATATATAAATAGTCGGACGTCGCTTGAAACGAGGACATTGTAATAGTATTTGCCCCTAATTACATTGCTATGGTCGAAAGGGACCCCTGAATATTCGCTCCCCTACTTGCAGGGCATTGTCAACACCTTGTAATGAGGACATTTTAATAGTATTCGCCCCTAATTACTGTTAATTTCATTGCTATGGTTGAAAGTGACCCCTGAATATTCGCTCCCCTACTTGCAGGTCATTGTCAACACCTTGTAACGAGGACATTTTAATAGTATTCGCCCCTAATTACTGTTAATTACATTGCTATGGTCGAAAGTGATCCCTGAATATTCGCCCCCTACTTGCATTGCTATGGTCGAAAGTGACCCCCGAATATTCGCCGTCTACTCGCAGGGCATCGTCGACGCGTCATCGACGAACGAAGAGCTCAAGTGGAACGCGTTCACCTACATCAAGCTGCCGCACGTGTTGCACCGGATGCACGCCAGCCCCGGCGGCGACGCGGGCGACGTAGCCGGCGCCCTCTCGCGGCTGCTCGAGTACGGCCCGCTGCTGCGCCTCGTCGACGCGCGATGCAACTGCGACTGCGTCCAGTTCCTCGTCAACCAGCTCGTTAAGTACGAGCTGCTGACGGACGCGCAGGGACGCATCGTCATGGAGACGAAGGCCGACAAGGGGCTGAAGCCGAAGCACGCGGAGCAGTCGGGAACGCCTAGCAACCCGAACGCTGGTCTGATCCTTCGCGCTGAGCCGACCGTCTCCAGCATCCTCAAAGTAATTATTCTTATTATAAAGTTTAAATTTTAAATTTTAATATTTTTTTCTTAATTATTTTTTAAAGTTAGAAATTATTAATAAGTATTATTTTTTAAATATGATTTTTCAATTATTTTACGTTTTTTTTTTTAAACTGTCTCCCCGACCGTTTTTGTATTTTTCCGACCGCTATAGACAGAACTTACTGGCATTGCTTGCGTAACGGCAAGTGTCTAACGTGAGGGTAACATGTCTTAGAACATTCGTGTGTCGTTACTTTCACGAAAATGTACAACGATTGAGATCTGTTTGTTTACATCGGGATGACGCAGTTACAAGGTGATGCCACTCGTTTCTCGCGCGACCTTGTTACTGTATATTTGCATGGTAATCTGAATGAAGCAATAGAGATGTTTTACGAGTCTGGAAACATGTCACTCAATGAGATACACTTTCGTCTGGTGATTATTTTCAAGAATAAAAATGTGTAAGTCACTCACACATCGCAGCAGAAGACATAATCACAGAGCTAAATATTAATCATTATATTTATATTAATTATAATTAATGATAATACATATATAAACGATTGCTCGCAGACGCTAGACGCAGACTACTCTAAGAACCAGGATGCGTTGATGAGCGTACTCTGCCAGATGCTGTCCGGCAAGAGCTTCGAACTCATCCTCGCCGCTGCCGCCGCGACGGGTCAGGTACGCTGCTTCGCCGTGAAACTCATCAAGTTTAACGAGTTCAGCAAGCAGGTGCAGGGCGAAAACCAGAAGGCGTCGCAGGCGCGCGCTCTCCTCTTCGACATCTCCTTCCTCATGCTCTGCCACATCTGCCAGCTGTACGGAACCGAGATCGTGACGGAAGGCGCCGCTGCCGCCGCCGCCGACTCCTTCTTCGTGCTCTGGGCGACACGGTGTCTCCCCGCGGGCGGGGGCCGCTACAAGTCGCTCGAGACGGGCATCGCGGCGGACGCCGGGAAGGTGGAGACGCTGCTTCAGCAGCTGCAGGCGGGCGGCGAACTGAAGCTGAGCCTCGTCAAGTGGCAGGAGATGTGCGTGAACGTGCCGGCGGCCGTGCAGGAGGTGCTCGTCGCCTGGGAGGCGGGCGCCGTCACCGCGGAGACGGTCAAGAGCATCCTGGAGACGGTGCGCGGACGCATGTGCTGCCTGTCGGTGTGCGTGTCCGCGTGGCTCTGCGGCCGCATACACACGTCGAAGCACGACGACCGACTCAAGCCGATGAACATGATCAACCACCTCCTGTTGCCCGCGGCGACGGCCGGCGCGGCGGCGGCGGACCAGACGAATCCGAACTACAATGAGCGGCACGTGTTGATGACGACGATCATTCGGCGGATGTACCACGACCTTCACCCCGTCTCGAGCATGAAGGTCAACCCGCTCGTGCAGATGATCCCGGCGAAGACCCCCGTCACCGACTGCCTGCTCGAGATCTTCCACGCAACGCACAGGAAGGGCTGGATGGAGCTGAAATCTGTGCACATGCTGAAACACCTTCTGCAGGTGTGTGCGCACTATGTGAGGGGATATGATCTCGATCCTAACCCTAATCCTAATTTCACCAAAACCCTGATCTTAACATTGACCCTAATCTAACCCTAACCTTGACCCTAATCTAACCCTAACCTTGATCCTAACATTGACCCTAATCTAACCCTAACCCTGATCCTAACATTGACCCTAATCTAATCCTAAACCTAACCCTGATCCTAACCTTGACCCTAATCTAACCCTAACCTTGACCCTAATCTAACCCTGATCTTAACCCTAACCCTGATCCTAACATTGACCCTAATCTAATCCTAACCCTGATGATAACCTTGAGCCTAATCTAACCCTAAACCTGATCCTAACTTAACTGTGATCGTAATCATAATTTAGTGGTGGTGGAGGTGGTGGTGGCAGTGTACTTTGTTTTATACTGTATGGTGTCTGTACCATCAGACCCTGCCGGCTCTAATCGTTATTCTGCGTGCACAGGTCGCGATGTCGCTGGTACGTCGACAGCCTCATCAAGGAGCTGCTCAATGTCACGCGGCCGGACAACCTACAGATGGCAGCACGGCTCGTGCACGCCATGTTCATGCTAGACATACAGGTACGTGACGCGCGTTTCTCTGCCTGCCTCGGCGTTAACTCGGTCTTCAACCTACAGATGGCAGCACGGCTCATGCACGCCATGTTCATGCTTGACATACATGTAGGCCCGCGCGCATTTCCATTCTGCCTCGACATTGACTCGATGATGAAGGTCCACGTCATTTAACGCATAACAAATAGAAAAAAAGCAGTCATGATGCACTGGTTTCTTTCCTTTCCAAATTAATAATCATCCATTCTTGGTAAGATTGATGATTACTTAAGTAAATAAATTAGATCATATCGACATCAGCTCATCTCATCTGCTGTCCTCACAGTAAAGTATTATTCGTCAGTTTGCATATGATATAAAATTATTCAAATTTCACCTGCGAAGCAATCCCGGGGTATTAGGTGTGATGGTATGACTTGTGACAATACATCTAGCTGACGTTAATCTTGACGATTCGGCTCACGGTAGTGTGTCGTCCCTATCGTGACACACCTGCTCTCACTTGTCTCACCTGCTCTCTCGTGACACACCTGCTCTCACTTGTCTCACCTGCTCTCTCGTGACACACCTGCTCTCTCGTGACACACCTGCTCTCACTTGTCTCACCTGCTCTCTCGTGACACACCTGCTCTCTCTCCTGACACCTCTGCTCTCTCTGACCCTCTGCTCTCTCTGACACCTCTGCTCTCTCTCCTGACACACCTGCTTTTCGTCACACACCTGCTCTCTCGTGACACCTGTGCTCTCTCGTGACACACCTGCTCTCTCGTGACACACCTGCTCTTTCGTCACACACCTGCTCTCTCGTGACACCTGTGCTCTCTCGTGACACCTCTGCTCTCTCGTGACACACTGCTCTCTCCGTGACACCTCTGCTTGCTCTCTCCTGACACCTCTGCTCTCTCGTGACACACCTGCTCTCTCGTGACACACCTGCTCTCTCGCGACACCTCTGCTCTCTCGTGACACGCTCTGCTCTCTCGTGACACACGTGCCTCTTCTCGTGACACCTCTGCGCTCTCTCGTGACACACACCTCGCTCTCTCGTGACACCTCTGCTCTCTCGTGACACCTCTGCTCCTCGTGACACACCTACTCTCTCGTGACACACCTGCTCTCATGACACACCTGCTCTCTCATGACACCTCTGCTCTCTCGTGACACACCTACTCTCTCGTGACACACCTGCTCTCTCGTGACACACCTGCTCTCTCGCGACACACCTGCTCTCTCGTGACACCACTGCTCTCTCTCCTGACACCTCTGCTCTCTCGTAACACACCTGCTCTCTCGTGACACACCTGCTCTCTCGTGACACGTGCTCTCCGCGACACACCTGCTCTCTCGTGACACACCTGCTCTCTCGTAACACCTCTGCTCTCGCGTCAACACACTTGCTCTCATGACACCTCTGCTCTCTCGTAACACACCTGCTCTCTCATGACACACCTGCTCTCTCTCCTGACACACCTACTCTCTCGTGACACACCTGCTCTCTCTCATGACCTCTGCTCTCTCGTCTCGTCCCCGCAGGGCTGCACTCTGTGTCTCGTCACGCACACTGTGCCCAACATCCTCGTCACGGCCAGCAAGCTGGAGCAGCTCACGGACCCGCGCGACAGACCCTCGCCTGGCTCCTCGTCATGTGCATCAACTCCTCCGTCGCCCTCGCGACCCCGCCGACCCGCCCGCCGGCGCCCCCAAGCGACGTTCGACGGCGACGCCGCGACGGACGACGAGGAGCGTCCGTCGAAACTCCCGCGTTGCTCTGGCAACCACGACCTCGCCGACGACGCGCCGATGGGGCTCGTCTGCGACGCAGAGGGCGCCGCGCGCGGCGGCGGCGAGGCGGCGGCGCCTCTACGTTCGACGCGGAGGAGCGCTGAATCGCGCGCTCGTCTCGCTGTTCCGCGTCTTCGACGGCGTCGTCACGTCGCGGCTGGTCTCCGCAGCGCTCGTGGTTCGTGCTCGGTTCGTCGAGGAGGCGCGGCGGCGCGGGGCGCGCGCGCGGCGGCGGTGCTGCGGTGCGCTCCCGTCGCGTTCGTCTCCGTCTCGTCGCTGCTCCTGCCGCCGCATGTTCACGCCCGAGCTGATCCTCGCGCTCTGCGACGCGTCGTCGCGCCTCGGCCGCAAGATCGCGACGAAGATCCTCTGCCAGCATCAGAGGCATGGTGCACTGCGCCATAGACACGCTGGTGAGGGGTGGTGCGCTGCCAGCATCAGAGCATGGTGCACGCCAAGTAGACGTGGTGACGGGTGGCTCGTAGGGGGGTGGCGTGCTGCCAGCATCAGAGCATGTGCACGCCAAGTAGACGCGCTGGTGAGGGGTGAGTGCGCTGGTGAGGGGGGTGGGTGTGCTGCCAGCATCAGAGCGTGGTGCACGCCAAGTAGACGCGCTGGTGAGGGGGTGAGTGCGCTGGCTGAGGGGGGTGGGTGTGCTGCCAGCATCAGAGCGTGTG